TCATCCTTCCATTACCTCACCTCATCTTCAGTCCAAATACCTCTGCGCTATCCAACAGCCCTGCACAGGCGCTGATCTCAGAAGAAAGACCCTTGCTGGCTGAGTGGTCCTGCACTGTTCTTTAGGGCTGGGTGTGAAGAGAGCAGATCTGAGCAGGGAGGGAGGGAAAAAGCCAGTTTAGGACCCCCTGGGTGTTTTCCTTGACTGCCTCTTCTGCCCGTGTGCCCAGCTCAAAAACCACTTCATCCTTCCCAATGAGGATACCAGCTCCCCTCCTCTCAGCCCCTGGGTGTCCTACCTAAGCTTTAGCTTAGAGCCTCTGGAGAGCGAGTGAATAATTAGAGCCTTAGGGGACCAGCTCATGCACATTGAGAAGTTTCTTGCAGGGAGCATGTGCAAAAGCCAGGGGCCAACAAGAGATGCCAGAGCCTACCCCAGGCCCCAGCCCTGCTTGGCGGAGAGCTGTGGGTAGCCAGCAACAGTAGGCCACTGCCTTCTTGCTGTATCCAGAGTCTTCATGTGCAAACAGGAAAGAACATAACCTCCTGCCCTGGCAGATTTGGGTCAGCAAAATGGGCATGATTAGGCACAACTGCTGGCTGTGTGGCAGTCGTGTGCTTCGGACAGTTAAAGGTGAGATGTATCACAAGACCCCCCACCTCCCACTCCTCAGCTTATTACTGAAGTAATATGTTATTTACTGGAGATGCATGTTTACTGTGAAAAAAATAATTTTACCTGGTCAAGTCTCCTGTGGACTAGTAATTTCAGAAGAAGTGCGCAGTTTCTTGCATGTTTGCAGGATCGGGGCATTATTAAACCACATGGCTTGACAGGCATATAAAGCATGCCTTGCAGGCCTGAAGAATCTGGAGCAAGATTATTGTAGCTGTGCCAACTGAAAGTTCCATGTGACTCTTGAACAGTCAGATAAGTAACGAGCAGACTGGAAGTGGCTCAAAGAGCTAATGAAGCTCTAAACTGCAGGAGTGCGGATCTGGTTGCACTGAGCAGGAGCTTTCCAAATGGAGCATTTAAAGGTACACAGTGTGAGCTATGAGATACATTTATACTTGGAGCGCAAGTACTTGGTCAATATATATTTATGGACTAAGCAATTAACAAGTAAAAAGAGCATGATAAGACACAAACAGAAGGTGACAGAACAGAAAATAATGTGGGAGAGACTACATGATCCCCGTGTCAGGAACTGATTAAATGTGTGTAAGTGGAAAGTGTGCCTTGGAGTTCAGGCTGCTGGAACAAAAAAAGAAAACAACATCCCAAACCTTTGCAATTCCTGCATTTGTCCTGTGGGAAAAAACTTTAAACTTAGTGCTGTGGCTTAATGCTCTCTCTTCAGCCCTGTTTTGGCTTTTCAAAGAGATGCTGAAAGGCTAACCCTGTTATGCTTATCCTTAGCATATTATGAAAGAGAGAAGTGGAACACGAGGCAGAGTGGGGTCCCTTTGCCTCTGTGCAGAGCTTTGTGGGACCATGGCTGCTTATCAGAGCAGCTGGTTTTTTTTTCCTTTGCCCCTAGATCTGATTGTATACACAGCTGCACAGTTGCATGTGCCAGGATAAGGCTTCCCAAGCTACAAAACTACTTTGTGATATGATCACAGATGCCTTACAGATCATGTGCAAAAAGTCACCTGTCCACTAAGAGACTGCAGCCAATATGGGCAGGAATAAACCCCTCCAGCAGAGTCTATTTTGTGTCCTCCCTCGTCTCCTGCCATCTCAGGATATCCTCTTTATTTGCTTTTTATTTATGCTGCCGTTTCCAGCAGTCACTTGCAAAGGGTGGCTGCTCCCAGGGCTTCCATTCAAATGCAGGAGAGATCCTGACAAAAACAGAAGGATGTAGTAAAATTGGGAATTTTGTGGAAAGTCTCGTCTAGTTTTGGTCTAGTATCAGATGGGTTTGAAAACTAACAACATGCCTCACTAGACTGTAAGTGTCTGGGTCTTCCACCAGGACATTTAAATGTTGTGCACAGAGACAAGCAAAGACCATCCAGTAATAAAACCCACCCTGGTGCTTACTGTTGCCCAAGCACAACCTGTCAAACTCTGTTCCACTTTGTCATGGTTGAAACAAAAGTCCACACTGTTCCTGCTAAAAAAAAAGTTACAATGAGCTACCTGTGCAGGGCTTATAGCAGGGGAAATGAGTAATAATTTCTTTGTTCAAAGCTGCAGAGAGACTACTTTTGTAACGCACGAACACCCAGCTGGAGCCATGCCAGGGCACAAGGATTAAAAGCAACAAAACTCTCTAGTGAAAAGAATGCATGGGACTTTATTAAATGAAATGTTTAGTTCTACAAATATAGGTACAAGCTGAGAACATGCCCTCTCTGAAAGCATTACACTGTCCCCAGACTCTGGAGAAGCATCTCCCCTTTTTCTCCTTCCTGCTCTGCCTTCCCTTATCAGCTGGACTCTGGCTGCTTGAAAGAGGTAAAAAAATAAACTAGAGATTAATTGCTCCTGCGTTGCATCCAAAAACACAGTTCCTGATCAACTCTCTTTACTATTAACCTCCCATTTGTACCACCATGGATAACAGGCTTGTCAGCACTTCCTGAGCAGCAAGAAGGGGAGATGATGCTACCTACAGTCAGTGACTGAAGGGAGGCTGAATCTCCTGTAGCGCCTGAAAAAAACTCTCAACACAACCATTTGCAAGACAGCACTTCTTTATTGCCTGTACTCCACCTGAACACTAAGAAAACATGCTTAAGGTTGTACCTTGAAAAAACCCACGTGGTAGTTCTTGCTGCTGCAAAATGACAGCACTGATAAAGTGCCTGTATTTGTGTCAGTTGTACTTCATGCTTTTGTCTCCCATGTGCTCTGTACCCAGTGTGGGAGGTCATGTTTGGACTACGTTAGCAGACTGGCTCCTGCTCTCTTCCTTCTACAGCAACTGCCCAAATCCTGCTGCTACAGGTAAGCACATGTAAGCCTTACTGATGTGCCCTGACCAAGGATGTCAGTTACCGGTCAGTGCCACTCCTTGTTAACCTGCAACTGGAGCATGACGCAGAGAAATCATTGACAGCAGCTTCCCCAGCTTGGGTTGTGGGTTTGACCTATTTAGCAGGTGATAATGTCTGTGGTCCTTCACACCCACATTGGCTGGAAAGCCAAAAAGCCATGTCTGCGTTAGGATTACCAGTGCCTTCTGAATTTAGAGAGGGTTTCCCTTTCCAAACATGGTTTCTTGCAAACACAAGCAGTTCTGCTGGTGGCACTGCTGGTGTTATTCTAGACTCCACACCAGCAGCCCTGGCTCCTTCTGAACCTCTTCTTTCTGATTCCCAGTCTGGGGAAGGTGTTCCTGCAGTTAAACACAGTGTGACCCATAGCCAGCTAATGGTAAGGACTGAGCAGGAGCTTACTACTTTTAGTTATTCTTTTTAGTCAGGAATCCTGCTCTTCCGGAGAAAAACTTCCTCTTGCCTCTCAGGAGTAAAGAGCACCGGGAGGAACCATGGAAATTCTTTGTAGCACTGGTGGGCTGTGGGTGACTCAGAGCACTTTTCCTGTGCGGGATAGTCCCAGAGAAATTTGTGCAATAAACAGACATTTAGAGTAATTGCCTTATCCCAAGAAAGGAAAGAGTAGATAAATATAGGCCTTCCCTATCCTGCAAGGTTGGGGGGACTGCTTTACAGTTGCAGTATCACATCTTGCACCTAAAATGTCAGTCACATAAAGAAACAGGCTTGAGGAAGAGAGGCAACAGGGCGTTACCAAAAAGGCTCACTTAGTCCAACAAGGCTTTAAGAGAAACTGAGCTACGAAACAGAAAGCATCACACCCCAGGGAACACCGGGGGCTTCATGCCACAGTGCCAGCTATGCTGAGACACGCTTTTGGGGCCAGTTCCTACTTCAGCTTGCACCTCCCCTCACTCTGCTTTGCCCCACACCTTAGTGATAAGAAGGCTCCTTCCCAACAGGAACAGGTTCAGTCCTGCTCTTTCTAAGGCTCTTCACCAGGAAAGCGAGGTTGTTGTACAAGGTCACCGCAAGAGAAAAGCTCCGCTAAGTACACTTCATACAGGCAGCTGCCTTGTGCTTCCAGCCCAGGTACATCTGAAAGACTGCGATCAAGCCAGCAGGGTGGGATTTTTCAGTACTGCAGGTAAGTCAGTTCCTAGTTGCTAGAGATTCTTTAGGAAAGGGTAAGAGAATGGGCGGAAATGGGCAGCATTCAGCCTTACAACAGGCTATATATGGCACTGTGTGTCCCAGGGCAACTGCTCTGTGTTCTGTAAACAGTAACAGAGGGAGAGTGACAAGGTACATTAGGGTAACAAAGTGAAGAAAGCCATCAGGATGACTAATTTTATCAATTCATACCATATCCACATAAGTTAACTACATATCCATCAGTTAACTACAATACTGGCAAATCAAACCAAATTTCACAGTAAATACGGGGCCTGATACAGATCTTACAGGAACTGATGAAGCTTTTCTCCCGCTTACCACAGCAGGGTTTCAGCTAGGCTCTGCTGTCAAAGAACCAAGAGGAGATGCTGCTCTTTGAGATGGATGGAGCACTACCTAGATCTAGCCCAAATTTAAAATAATTTCTTTATCTCCTACACTAAAATTCTATTTAACACAGCACACACTGTGTCCTCCACTCTCTGCCACTTTGACAGAAGAAAACAAGACTTCATCCTTCTACAGGGAAGCAACCTCTCCATACAGAAGGCCCAGTCTGTGCTATTAGCCAGGACCCGCCAAATTCCCCCAAAGAAGCAGAGGCCTCCAGAGACCAGGGCTGAGTTGGGAAATGGAACCGTGCAGATCATATGCACATTTTGGCCTGATTTAGTGCCTTGAAATTCCCAAATGGGGAAAAGCTGCCACTTCCCCAAGTCTCTGCAGAGCTGATACCATCAGATTTGGCTTGCTCAAATAGAAGCCCAGCTTCATGAAACAGTGTTGGCACATCTCTTCTGGCACACTGCCTTACGTGCAGCACGCTTTCTTCCTGCTGACATTTTCCAGGTGCAGGGCATTCTCCCTCTGCCTGTCTTCTTGCGCTGCCAGCAACCTGGAACAAGCAGCATAGATCAAGAACACAACCCAGTTACTGAGATCTTCTCCCCAAGGCATTTGGCTCCACCCTTTGCTCCCCATCAGTCAGGGACATTTAGGATTGTAAAAAGTGACTGGCCCAAAGACCAGACTTCTGTAGAAGTTGGGCTAGATAAACCACACACAGAAAATGAGCATGAATTTCCAGGGAACAGGGAAAGAAACTCGACACATACAAGAGGGGACAGCATGGCTTAGTAGTCAGAGCACTAGACTGAGGTGTGAGTGCTGTGTCTTATTCTCAAGCTCCCATACTGATGGCAGAATCCTGGGCTGTTTGCTTCACCAGGCTGGGCCATCTTGGTCAGCAGCATGGCAGTAGAGCACACTGAAGGCACATGCTATGGGAGATGTGATTTACCTGTCTAGTAAGTAAATAATCAGTTCATGATCAGCTAAGCCCTGCCATGAATTTAACAGAAATCACGCAGCAGGAGGTGAAGGCATAAAATAAAATAAAGCAAAACAAAAGGATCCTTTTCCTGCAAGATTTGAAAGACTTTTTTTTCAAAACTAGTTGTTTTTTTTAAAACTAAAAAACTTAAAGCAAACTTTTTAGCCTTACAAATTGTCTTAACTACCTTTAAAAATGTTACCACCAAAATATCACATTCTGTATAATGTTTAGTAAGATAAGAAAGAAAAACCCTCTAGAGATGCATGCAGACTTCAAACTGAAAATGCCAACTTAAAATCTGGGATAGTACACCAGGTTTTTGTGATTAAATATTCAAATTAAACTCCCAGTCTTTCCATGGCCAGCTCTGCCAGACGAAGCTTTGCATGCAATAACATCCAGTCTACACTCGGTGCTCTCCAGGCACAGAAGACAAAGACCTGGAGTCAGGGGGAAGAGCACATTGCTCCAGGTCTTTTTTTGTGACGTGGCAGAAAGTCAGTCTCTGACAACACCCTCTTCTTGCCCGTTCCCTGGGAGAGCCTGCACCAACTCCTGCAGCTGGGGAGGTATCCCAACATGACCGTTCCTGTTCACTGACCTGGCCATGTGCAGCATGGGCTCCATGATGTTATAGCCACTCATCGCACTGCACTCGTAGAAGACAGCCTTGTATTCCTGCCAGAGAGCACAGCAAGCACCCATGTTGGCTGCCAGCTCTCCCCCTCCATTCACCTACACCTCTGGCAGCTGGCCCACCCTCACCGCCAGGAACTCTGCTGAGAGCAGTTGGGGCCAGGAGGGTGGCTGTTACCATCCTGAAGGGGCGCACACCCTGCTCACCAACCCAGGAAAAGGAGATGCTTTTTGAGCATTGGAGGCCCAGCCAGAGTGTCCAAAAGGGATCACTGGGGAAGTTATTTGGGAAAACACCTGCCCAGGCTGTTTGGATTCCCTTACCTTTGTTGCAGAGTCCAGAAGATGGGGAATATCTCAGAAACCTGACCTCCCCCGACCCAGGGGCCAGGGTACCAGGGGGCATGCACATGCAGGGAGTGAGGAAGGAGGCAGGATGATTTTGCAAAGCATGCATTAGGGGAGTCCTTAAATGGGAAAACGGCCATGCATGCTCCCCTCAGAAAGACTGAGCAACACTGTAAGAAGGCATCAAGACTCAAGAGAAATACATGGGCATGCCTCAAAGGCCATTGTCTGCCAGATGCTGGCCACCACTTCATCCTCCATGGTTCTAGAGGAACGTTGGTACATGTTTGCATTGGAAAAGCAGGAGGCAGGGTGGATAGAGGGAAGGTAGCATACTGGGAAAGGGCTCCCAAGAAGGGCTTCCTGCCAAGCAGGCTGCCCTGCTCACAGCTGGAGGGAGGCTGCAGAGCAGGTCCAGCAGCAGAGCACAGAGTCACACCTTCGCCAGCCTTTCCCCCTCCACCTTGGGCACATTCCGAGTCGCTCCCTGTGCAGCATCCATTTTATTTCCAAGCAGAAAGATCACAGCTCCATCCTCGATACCTTCCTGAAAAAGAAACAGAGTAAAGCACCCTAGAGACTCAACCAAGGGAGGGAAATACCTTGGAACAGATCCTGTTCCAGCTCAAGCAAACAAGACTTTCAGTGGCAGCAGGATCAGGCCCTTTAGCTCATTAAAGGGCCATTCCTCAAACTGTCCCAGCGATAACAGGCTATGCATAGAGGGGAAGGAAATGTATTTCAATTGTTTGGTATGTATAGCTGAGATACTGAGAGAGGAAAGACAGGCCATAAGTTCCTCTGTGCAAAATAGCATGCCTAAATAAAAGCAGTTTGCCCAATAGGCTGTTTGGAATTTAAGTGCAGGCAGAGCTTCTTATTAGGTTCAGTAATTTTTGTGTGTATGTGTGGTACTGTTTGTCAGATGTGCTGTCCTAAACTCAGCCATCCCTTGCTGATAATGGCCAAGCAAACTATGCACCTTTCAACTGTTATATAGGATCTCTGTAGGAACTGTTGTTCCTAGGCAGTTCCTGGAGGCATTATCTTTGGCAAAACTCTCTCTAGTTGCACTGGCTCACTAGAACATCACCAGAGTAAGGACTGCAGAACAGGGCTCCAAGTTATTTCCAAACTTGACTGCCCTGGATGATTTACAGTACCTGAACAGCTTCAAAGCAAGATAAATACTAAGATGGGAAAAGGAAAAGAAGAGAGACTATTAAAAGTTACGGATTTCAGGTGCTTTGATTTTCTGCATTCTCAGTTTAACCTTCCTGAAAGGAGCCTGATTTTCAGAGGCTGTTTAGTTTTGAAAATCTTAACCTTTGATCTTTTAGAGTCCGAAGAAATAGCCAAGTTGTTCGGGTTTCTTTTTGCCCCAACAGGCCTCTGGAAGTTAATAATATTAGAAACCTCCGACCTATGCTAATTCATTTCACTTATATCTTGCTTTTTGAGACTTGGCACAATCAAAACAAAACAACCCTTGCCAACTTCCCTGCAGCATTGAGTCATCTACACACAACTTATTTAAATGACGTAGATGGGTATTTTTGTCTCTGCTAGCGAGATATAAGCCACAGGTGAATGCTTTTACTAAGAGTTTGGACATAAAAAGCAGAAAGGCAGACTAGAGTATTAATACACAGTCACCAAATAAAAAAAACACTAAATTGGAAAATTGGTCCACTAAATTAGACAAACATGGGTTTGATGGACAGACCACTCGCTGGATAAGGAATTGGCTGGATGGTCACACTCAGAGAGTTGCAGTCAACGGCTCAATGTCCAAATGGAGAGCAGTGATGCGTGGTTTTCTCCAGGGATCAGTACTGGGACCAGTGCTGTTGAACATCTTTGTCAGCAACATGGACAGTGGGATCGAGTGCACCCTCAGCCAGTTTCCAGATGACACCAAGCTGGGTGGTGCAGTTGACACGCTGGAAGGAAGGGATGGCATCCAGAGGGACCTGAACAGGCTGGAGAGGTGGGCCCATGCCAACCTCATGAAGTTCAACAAGGCCAAGGGCAAGGTCTTGTACCTGGGCAGGGCAATCCCAAGCACCAGTACAGGCTGGGCAGAGAATGGCTCAAGGGCAGTCCTGAGGAGAAGGACTTGGGAGTGTTGGTTGATGGAAAACCCAACATGAGCCAGCAATGCGCGCTCACAGCCCACAAGGCCAACAGCATCCTGGGCTGCATCACAAGAAGTGTGGCCAGCAGGGCAAGGGAGGTGATTCTGCCCCTCTGCTCTGCTCTGGTGAGACCCCACCTGCAGTGCTGTGTACACTTCTGGGGCCCCCAACACAAAAAGGACATGGAGCTGTTGGAGCGGGCCCAGAGGAGGCCATGAAGATGATCAGAGGCTGGAGCACCTCCCCTATGGGGACAGACTGAGAGAGTTGGGGCTGTTCAGCCTGGAGAAGAGAAGGCTCTGGGGAGACCTTATTGCAGCCTTCCAGTTCCTGAAGGGGTCCTACAGGAAAGCTGGGGAGGGACTTTTTACAAGGGCAGGTAGCGATAGAATGAGGGGGAATGGTTTTAAACTGGAAGAGGGGAGATTTAGACCAGATATTAGGAAGAAATTCTTTCCTGTGAGGGGGTCGGGACACTGGCCCAGGTTGCCCAGGGAAGCTGTGGGTGCTCCCTCCCTGGCAGTGTTCAAGGCCAGGTTGGACAGGGCTTTGGGCAGCCTGGGCTGGTGGGAGGTGTCCCTGCCCATGGCAGGGGGTGGACTGGATGAGCTTTAAGGTCCCTTCCAACCCAAACCATTCTATGATCCTATTAAAAAAACCCCCAAAAAACCCCCAAAAAATACCAAACAACATTAAAGTTCAAGCAAATGAGGAAACAATAGCTATTAGTAGTATTTCAGTCTCATCTAGAAATCTCAAAGCAGAATCAGGATGTGATCATGCAAAGCACTGTGCATGCATGCTGCAGGTCTAAGCCTAAATGCAGCAGGGTCATCTTCCTTTCCTGTACATAGGCTGACACCAGGAGATCTCCTTGCGTGAGCACAGGTGCGATGTGACCAAGTTTAGGAGATGTTGCCAATGCACATAGGCTGCGTACAAACACACACTACTGTTTTGGCAAGTCTCACCACCTTCTGCCATAGAAACATGCCTCCCTCTATTCAGTGGGCTACCACAGGCGTTGATGTATCTTCAACAAGAATTCCCTGGTCCCAAACAGACCATACCCATAGCATCTGCTTTGACAGTTATGTTCGCATGGTCTGTAGGACCTCCTGGGGCACTGGAGAACGTTGTTCCCAGACAGACTGCCAGAGCTGGTCTGGAGCAAAGCAGCAGCAGCAGCACCAGCATTAGGAAGCCGAGGCCCTGCTCTCACCTGGACGCTGCTCATCCAGTTCCGCACCGCCGTGAAGGAGCACTCTGCTGTAATGTCGTACATTACCAGAATCCCGTCTGCCTTCCGGAAATACTGCTTGGTAATGCTCCGAAACCTAAGCCCAAATGAAACCAAAGGCACTCTCAGAACCATGGCTGTCTTTCAGTACAGGCTCTCTGCAAGGCCTGGCAGTGCCTGTGCGTGAGATGTGTCCCCTGGGGCTGCTGTGTACAGGCTGGTGACAGACAGGTCAGATCATTGCACCTCTGGGGCAGGCCAGGCAGACACGGTTAAGCAGGAGTCTTTCCAAATGCATGGTTCCAAATGCAGGAAGGAAGACCTTTGCAGGTCAGGAGGAAAGAAACGGAAGAATCTGTTTACGTGGGATAGGAAAAGGAAGGGGAAATGGATGCAAAAAACCATGACCTTTCTCTAGAGTCTGGAAGAATCTGCAGACCTGGCTGTACCACAGTACAAACTGGGCGTGCGTAATGTCTGCCCCACTACTGCCAAAACAGCAATTAAGATCTCGGGATCAGTACAGTCTGTTTCCAGTTTTATAAAGCAATGCCATCATACATAAAACTAGCAGTTAGACAGTTTCCAGGAGAAAATTTCCCAGACATCTTTGTCCTGTGGGTACCAGTTAGAACCACAGACTTGTATTTTGGGAATAAATAATTAACAAACAACCCCCCCCCCCAACCTTTAAATTCTGTAAGAAGTTTGTGGTGGGGCCATGATATAACCACATTGATTGCAAACTGATGGAACTGATGTTACACAGGTACTGAAATCTCACTGCAGAGCTGTGCATTTCAGCTCTATACCAAATAACAACCTCTCCTATTATATTAAGAGCCAAGAAAGCCTACAGCAGGTAGTGACCCTCCTGAACTGTTCAGATGATTGCACGAAGCTTGTTCTTTCTCACTACAATGAGGGCATGACATTCTGGCAACTACCCAACCAAGAAAGCGCAGACTCTCTCTGGCAGTTAAGGTACACCTCTGGAACGACAGGGCAGGCTAGGTGCTCCAGAAGAGACATCACATGTAGAGTGCACTGGTCTCAGGTCACCAAGAGGTTACTCTATCTCTTCCATAGGATATTCACAGTTGGACACAGAAGTTACTGATATTCCTCTAGAAGTAAGAAAAATTTTAGCTTCTTCGCAGGCCTCCTATTCAGTATCAGCCTTGAGCTAAGTTCTCTCTTGCAAGTACATGTCTAAGACCTGCTAATGCTGCAGGGGCCTACCCTAAAGGTCCTTCTGCAGAGACAATATCTTGAATTCAGCCTCTGACGCAGTCTGGCCTCAGTAAAATGTCACACTTCATGTCATAACAACTCCCCTTACTGCTCAGCTTCAACTGAAATAACCACAGGAATCTCCTCAAAAATCATTATTTCTTCAGCATAAAGCTTGATTTTGGAAGAAATAGTTTGCTTTTCCATAGATACTCTTACTTAGTACGTTCCCACCATCATCTAGCTGACTGAGGAAGACAGCATCATTACTCTGTTGGCACAGCTCAGGATTAGAACATTCCCATGACCTCAGCTGCCTCCTGAAGGCCTGCCCTCATAACATATTTAGCCCAAAATAGCCAGTACTTATTTGGGGAGGTTAACAGCCCCTTTGAAATAGCTTTTCATCTTCAGCTTCAAAGTGCATCCTAAGTAAAATCTAATTTATGTGAAGGTAGTGGTGGGCCTATGTGTCTACTAGCAAAGGAGGGTCAAGTGTGTCCTCTACTACTCTGATCCTCACCAAGAGTGCTGATAGCATCTAGTGGTGGCCCATGCTTTTGAAACTAGAGGCCTTCCAAGAGGGAACCTGTATTCACTGTCACAAAAAGCTACAGTGTCGCTCTACAGAGGATCATCACTGTCACGAGTCTAACAGCAGAAGGGACAGTGAAAGGGGCCAATAACCTCCCTGACAGAGTCCATCAGGTCAAGCTAATTCAGCTGGCTTTTTCTGAATCTGATCTGGAGAGGTTCACACACTCCTTCCCACCCTCTGAATAAAAAGTGGTGTGAGCAGCTGTGAACAGCAGTAGCACAACTGAATCTGAGAACAGGATGTGTATCCAGAGCCTTAATTTCTATCCTAATCTGCAGCCCTGTCATGCAGCTTTTCTCAGAAGCAGGCTGGTGCAGGAGAGCTTTGAGGACTAGAGGAGCTTTGAACCCCACAGTGTACAGTGATTTATGGGTAGATTATCTGAAGCCATAACCATGTAGGTCACACTTATGGAAAAATACTTTCCCATCAGTCCTCAGAGCTGTCTCCCTGGGCTCCACTTCACAGCCACAGCTTCTAGAAATCTCCAGAGCAGACCTTTACTGCAGGTTCAGTGCTGGAATGGCTGCTGCAACCTCTAGTCCTTCTGAGGCTAACAATTTCCCAGAGACAGAAACCAGCGGGACGAACTCTTTCACTCTTCTCCTGTCTCCTACAGAGAGCCTGGCAGTGGGGCATCCTCACAGAAATTGCTTACCTTTCCTGTCCAGCTGTATCCCACAGCTGTAGGGCAACCTGTGTATTATCCACCATCAGACTCCTGACCTGGTAATCGACACCTGTTAGAAAAGTAACAATGATCATAAGACAGAATGGGGAGAGAGCAGCTTGCCATTGCAAGCCCAGTGGCCAAGATCAACACAATTTGTTCCAGGGAAACTGCAATACTGATTCAAAATTGGACAAGGGATCATCTTTAACTTTACTTGGGCTGAAATATGGGCAAAAAACATATGTGCAGCCTGACTTTGCCACCCTTCTTAGCCAGATGAGTCAGGAACCCTATTACTTACCGATGGTTGCATTGAGCTCAGCCAAGAATCTGTCATAGCAGAAGCGGTGGATGAAGGAACTCTTCCCAACGCCAGAGTTCCCTACAAAGACCACTTTAAAGATGCGGTCTGGGGAACAGGTGGCTGGTTCCAGTGCCTGAAGCTACAAGGGAAGAAAGGGATGCAGCTTTGAAAAGCCCAGCTACAGACTGTGCTTTGATTTAGACATTGGACCCCTGCACTATAAACCTATAGAGCTGGAGTTAAAGGGGAAGAGAGTCAGAAACACTCAAGCCCCTGGTAGCAGGTGCTTGAGGAAGAACTCGACGCAATTAGGCTTACCCTGGTTTCGGTGCCAACACACTGTCCTCTAGGGGGCAGCAGAGCACCATTCTGTCTACAGTCAGCATCGCCCTTCAAAGTCCTCTTCAACCGCTCAGTGTCTGCTGCCAAGGACCATCTCTCCTTGTCTCTGCTCTTCTCTCTGAAGTTTGTGCTGCCTCCTTCTCCTGTCTCCAGCCATGTCCTGTTGCCTGGGAAGTATTTACAGTTCTTTCTGCTGGGTTCTTCCACTGCCACATCCACCAGGAAGGTGATGGGAAGGTCTGCTGAGGCCAGTTGTCTGTATTAAAGCCCACAGGTACCACAGATCGGGGAGGGGACAGGAGGGGAGGAAAAGGAGGTTGCAAATTTCCAGAACAGCCAACGTGATCCAATTAGTGCATATTCAATGCTTGCAGAAACTCTAATTCATACATACGCTCCCCATACTCCCTGTAAGGCATCAGCTGCACCCCTAAAGAGAGACAGCTCCCCTGAGCTATGCTATACTCATATGTGCTGACATGTATTTCACTGATTTTAATAAAAATTCCCACCTTCCAGATTTTTCAAGTTCTTTTGCCTTCCGTTTCCCCCAGTACTGAAAAATGAGGCAAAATATACAAAGGGGGCAGCAGGAAAAACTTTTATTTTTTTATTAAAGAAACAACCCCCATCTATTTTTGTTACCAAATACCACAGAAAAAGAAGTAACCAAGGTTTCGAGGTTAGTGAAAAGGGTTTTGACTGCAGGCAGCAGGGTGAGCACTGGCTGCGCGTCCTTGGGAGGCCACACGCCGTGTGCAGGCCTGGTGCTGCCCTGTGCTGAAGGCACAGCCGGGCTCCAGGAAACCAGCCCATAGCATTTCCACACACTGCTGCAGCAGAGCTTTACTGAGTTCAGGCAGCAGGAACGTGCCACATGTGTGCAAACTGCAGCGAGCGTGCTCACTTCAGGGTCACTTTGCCTGGTGTTGGCTCTGCTCTGGCCTGCATCCACGCCTGGCCTGAGGTAAGGGAGCCAGGACCCGAAAGAGAGTTTTTTATAAAGCTTCCAAGCAAGCACGCAAGAAATCCTGAGAACCCCTGCCCAAGCTGTGGTAGTTGGGAATACGGATTGCACTGACTGTGCCTACACAAGAGTAGGCTGATGTTCACTGGGGGTAGAGCTGACATGGTGGGTGGAGGAAGAGTCTTCAGAAGAACAACTGGAATAACCAATTTAAACTACTGGAATCATCGCTGAGGAGCAAGGCAGCCTCTTAGCTCTGCCTTGGCTTTCCATGATAAAAGAACTAGATGAAGGGAGTGAGAAGGCTTGAAACTGAAAGGGCTTTGTCCACCACAGGTATATCCATTGCCTTCCTCGACCACCTGATTGCATTTGGAAGCAAATTAGAGACCAGAGGCTTACTACAGTCAACCTCTTCAGAGGCAGCACATCCCACCTCTCGCCAAACAATTTTCTCTTGCTACTAGTGCAGGAATCAAGGCAAGAACTCTCCTCTTCCAATCCTGCGAGTAGAGCTCACAGGGCTGCAAAATTCAGCTGCTGCCATGCCTACACTTCTTCCATGAAAGGGAGCTCACATTCCTGGTTGTCCTCCCTGCACCTGCCCCAGATGCCAGCCCAGCTGGAACCTCTCTCAGTGTAAAAGAGACACATCCTCCAAGGCTCAGGGGAAAGGCCTCCATCTCCCAGGCCTGGCAGGAGTTGCAGCAATGAAGGGTTGAGACTCAAAAGCCTTTTTGGAGGTGGCCAAAAGGGACAAACACCAAACTTTGTGAATCCTGACTCCAGATGTAATGGATTTTGTTCATGTTTCTCAAGCAATGTGGTGTGACACAGCACTGGAACAGAGACAGGGCTAATTACTTCTCCCCTCCTCACATCACTCTCACTGACAGACTTCACCTCTTAAGCCTTTCTGGTGGGTTTATGCCAGCAGCAGCCAACGGGATCTTTGCAAGAAATAGCTGGAGAGGGGGATGACAGAACTTGACTGTCTGATCCCATTGGTTAGCATGTCTGCCAGTCACACATGAAAGAGCTCTGCCTCAGACCTATCCAAGCAACCTCTCAGCCTGGACTCAAGAATCAGCCCTGCTTCACCTGGTTTTCCATCAGTCCATGAGCCCAGGAGCCTGAAGCTCAATTCTTAAATGCCACTACCAGAATGGCAAGCATTAAGGGTAAGCTGATCCTGGAAGAAACTCTGAGCCTAGACTTATGTCTCTGGTTGGCACCAGGAGAAACTGGGAAGTGGTGGAACCTTCTGCAGAGACCTGGTAGGAAACAGGGAAGCATGCCACCTTTAAAACCTATTTGGGGCCAGCAGTTGCAGGGCAGATCCAGGCCAGGTCAGGGCTGGGCTGGCCTCTCCTGCCTCCTGGAGGAGCCAGGCTTTTGGCCAATACCAGTGTGCTGGTCACACAACTAGTTCACAAGGGCTGATGCTTAATGCCGGCATAGTTCAGGCAAGCAGGCGTACATGGGTATTGAAGTCACTGTACAGTCTCCATGTAGAATGGGGGGGGGGAAGTGGCTGAAGGGAAGGCCTAGTGTGCCAGGTGAGCATCTGCATGGGTGTGGAGGGAGATGGGCAGGATGAACCCACCTGGAGCTGGGTCCTCTCCTTGGGGCTTTCAGTTGCGACAGAGAACACAAAAGCCTTGTGCAGCTCCTGCCCTCTCCCACACCCCAGGGATATGAGCTTTGGCATGAGGCACCACTGGACAGGATTCCTGCCTGAGAACTGGCACACTTGTGATATGATCCAGTCATTTTAACAGAGCTGCCTGACTCAGTCAGAGGCAGCCTTTGTGACTCCCATCCCACAGCTTCTGATGGCGTTTAGGTTTGCTCACCCATTGCTCTATGTAGAAGCAGCCCCGAGGGGTCCACCCCCCTGTGGAAATTAGCTAACAGCATCCTCAGCTTCATGCTGACCCAACATCACCTGACGCCAAGAGGCAGCCACAGTCAAGCTGCATCCCAACCCATACTCCCAAAACCAGCCAGCACCAAGGTGAGAAGACGAGACACAGGACACAGCTTGACCGACAGGGCACTCCAGCGAGCACAGACTGACACCACAAACACAACACAGATGCCCATCTGACCGTTTGACTGGCTTGTCATCCATCGGGCAACTGCCTAGCACTGACCCTTTCTTCAACAGGTGCTTTTTGCTCTGAGGCACCTAGAAGTTGAAAAAAGGGATGAAGAATGTGATTAGAACCCAGGAACCTGACCAGCCCCAGTTCAACCTCTCCCCACCTCTGCTGGCTGCTTCCGAGGGCAAGGCTGAAGCCACTGCAGCCCTGCACCATGCAGCAGTAGTGCCCCACTGGCAGGCTTGAACAGAGGTGAGCACAGGGCTCGCTTTTCTCAGTTGAGCTCGTTTAACTCTTGCAAGAAGGCATCACTGATGCTGCTTTCCCCTTTGCAACAAAATCCATAAAAAATGGTGATGCCCCAAACTGAACTCCTCCTCTAGCCAGTCAGAGCTTTAATTTCTGTGGCTTGTTCTCCACTTCATCTCACAGCTGAACCTTTTTCCCCACCCACCTTTTTATTTTACTGATGTTTTATGGGACAGACCAATTGCCCCTTCCTTGGAAGGCACTGGTTCCCCTCTTTCACCAGTACTCACCCAGAGCTACACATGCACCATAGGAAAGGAGACACATGCTCTCCCTTACACAAACATCCCTCTCCATGCTTTCCTCCTACTAACCTCGAATTACACACTTCCTACAGCCAGTGTTTGCCAGCTCCCCAGAGAAAGGGAAAGCAGGACAAGTCCTCTTGCAACCCTCTTTCCCCCATACAGCAGCTTTGTCATCCCCAACAAAGATGAGCAACTTACCCAAGATCACACAGGAAGAGCTGTTGCAGAGGAAGGATTGACCTTTCAGCCCCGCTCCCTGCCAAATGCCATGCTAAAGTCTAGCCCCTCTCACCCCTGGACTGGCTAACTCTGGCTGCACACACAAAACACAAAGTGAGACAGCATGGCAAGGTGCCCATCACCTTGGCACTGGGGGAAACGGAGATGTACTTGTTCTGTAAGTCTGGAGATTTTGGACACGTCCTCGCAAGTTATTTCTGGGGCTAAAGGTGGGGAAAGAAGAGTCTGCAGCCTGTCAAATGTACCTCTGGCAGCAGTTTTGAACAGACAGAACACCTACAGGCAGCTCTAGACAGGCCTTCCTTCGTGTTGCCCACAGCCCAGGGGAGGACTACAAAGATTACTCCTTCAATAACCCCTGGCTTATTTTAAAGGCAAAAAATTAAGAAGTTGCTTTGTGGGCCAGAACTCCCAGGACAGCTTTACCACCAAGCGGTCCAACAGGAGACGACACTCTGGACTCCACAGAGGACTTCAACCAAATAGGAACTTTGAGGGGGGAAAAAAACTCAAAACATTTTTTTGCATGTAAAACTGGTATTCAAGAGAAGCTCCAGTCTCAGAAACATCCACCACCGAGAGATTCACAGCTGTGGAACATGTATCTTCCAAGGCAAAGACCCCAAAGTGTGTAGTGACCCTTTGGCTTACTCTGCTATCAGGCTGTGGTTCAGCCAACCAGTGGTTCTCCGGTGGGGGAGTTCTCAGGGTTTGAGCAGGTTCACTCAAGAGCACTCTCTAGACACACAGAAACAAGGAAATCATTTTACAGCGCACTGCAGCTGGGTCACAAGCTTCAAGTCACCGATGGAGCAAAGAGGCTTCCAGGCACTCTGCTATGGCACCACTGTACCTGGAGTGGAAGCAGCCTGTGGAGTACATACCTGGATAAGAAAGGAGAAACAATAGAGCACGTTTTGCCGTTGGTTCTGCCATGCTTTATTGGCCTGCCTGTGTAATATTTGGCTCTTCACCAGGATGGTAAAACAACAGATGTGACACGACAACTGTACACCACACCATGGCAAGGATTCCACAACAACAGCACACACAAGCACTTTGGATGAAAAAATTCTGGTTTATCAGTGAAATACAAATATGTGTACAATGTGGTCAAAGTTCCGAAATGCTCTTTGTGAAAAGCAGACATGAAATTTGCTCTGTCAACATACAGTATAAAAGCATAACTTGACTCCATCCAGATGGGTCATGACTGTGAAACTGAACCTACAACCCCTGGGTCTTAAAAGCATGCAGCAGTGGTTTGCACACTGGCAGAAATAGGCACACGTTGCTATCTGTGACTTAGCCACTGGAGCAAAACAGCACCCCATAGTGCCATGGGGCCAGGGTCTGCCCACCCTGACAAGGGCAGAAACTCTTATCATGTGCAAGGTATTAAGCTGGGCACAAGAAGTGCAAAGGAGCAGCGGCTGGGTTGCTATCAGCTGTGTACAGCTCCTTCCAACCACCTCAGAATCTTTGCTATGAAAGAATCACTCTTCATCACACCTTCATTTCACAGAAATAACACAACTCTTCCCAGCACTAAGAGAGGGTATTAAGGCCTTGGGTTTCTTTTTAGCCTGTAAAAGCATTGATACACTCTGCCAGAGAGTGTGTCACACTCTAGAGATCCCCATCGGAAGGCTGGAGTCTCCTCCTTGCTGCTGCCGGGAATTATTGCTGTTTTCTCTCCCCCTTACAGTGGGACAGGATGGACAGCAGATCTTTTGCAGGTGTACGACAATAGAAGCATCTCTGCAATCCCTTAGAGCCCTGCTTTCCTGTGGACTGAAACAAGAGTGGCCAACAAGATGCTCCTGACAAAGGAAAAAATCTTACTCCAGTACAGGGTTCATCTGCCTTGCACGACACAGGCTTGCCAGATGAGCAATGATGGTAGGAGGAGTTCACCCTGCTGCCCCATCCCTACTGCCAGCACAGGGAGAAGGGAGAAAGCAGCTCCCTTCTGCTATGACTCTCTTTGCTAGGCTCTCTCTTAGGTCCACCTGCAACTGCCGTGTTTCAGAGCAGCCCTGAGCAGGTCCCAGCAGGGGAAAAGGAGAGAACAGAGGAGAAGCGGACAAGCTTTGCACACAGAGAGCTGCATCCACCCGCCCCACGCACAGGAACCCAGCAGCTGATGAAGCACTACACACGGGAAGAGGAGAACAAACCATTTTCTTTGCCTGCTTGCACTGGACTCTGCTACAGAGTGACGGTGTTTAGTACTTCTCCAAGAGGGAGCAGGAAGCTCTAGTGCACACACACACACACTTAGCAGCTTTAAAAAGAAAAATAAAAACCTTCCTTCAGATTTCAGAAACACACAAAAGCACACACACCCCTCACCTCCATCCAAAACAGCTACTGAAGTTATTTTACACAGCTGCTGCTCCACTTAGAGAAGAACTCCAGCCTCTCTCCCAGGAAGGCATCTTGTCCCCTACCTGGACACAGTCCCTGCGCTTCCTTCCACGTTCCTTTGCGCACCAGCCAGAAGGTCTCTCACAGCCTACCACTGCCTGTCTTCACTGCAAGACAGCTACTTCCAGATTTTCAAGTGGGGCATGGTGGGATTTTCAAGCAGGCAAAGATACATGGTGGCAGGGATGGGTCCAAGAAGAGCACAGAGCAGCTTTGCCAGTGACTTTTGGGAACACAAAGACTTTTTCATGAAAAAAAATTAAACATGGATCACATATTCATACTTATCTTTGACACTGGGAAACAACAGAGGTGGAGTTGACTGTTTCAGATGCCAGAGGTGCCCTGCTTTCTACCAGCCCTATGACACACGGTGCACTCCTGCACCTCCACTCAGCAAAGTTCACGGGAATGGGGAGCTGCCCCCGAGGAACATCTGAAAACATCTGCTATAAACTCAAGGGGTCAGAGAAATTCCAAAGCCCTCCCATACCGCTCCACCCCCAGTCAGCTGGCAGCACATCTGGGAATCCATTGTCTTCCTCACCACCCAGCTCCAGGGATGCACCCAGATTCACTCTCCACCTTGCACGTGCCCAGTGCCTGTCACAACGCACAGACCCCACATGTGCAGCAGACAGCACCCACTGCAGCCTTGCACAGGGCTGCGTGACAGCCACAAGCTAATGCGCCTTGGGTTACACCCGGGCAGTTGACAACAGTGACCAGCAGAGCTCATCTCTAGCACAGGCAGAGCTGTGCTGTGAAGTCTGTATTAAGCATCACACCAGGCCTTGTGAGCTCAGGTCATTGTCCCCCGTGGAAGTGACAGGCCCCTGAGTGGCGACAGCAACAGCAGCAGATGAAAGGAGGGTGGTTGGGTATTAGGACTTTCTTTCTTAGACTAACCAGCTTCTTGGCTTCAAAAGCATCTTGCTCATCTCGAAGTTTCTTGTTCATCTCTCTGCTCCAAAGAAAGACACAGGAGAGACACAATGAAGCACTCATTAAAAATGGAGTAAAGACCAACATTTGAAAGCTAGGTTAAAAAGTGAGTTTGGGACACAGACAAGGATGTTATTTATTGCTAGACATGCTGGGATTTCCATGTGTCTCAGCTCAGGGCTTCATTCATATGGTCCCCTTAGCCAGCAGGAAAGACTAAATTCCTCCAGTGGAGGGATTACTTGGTGAAATAACACAGCCTGTACTCTGTCAGAGCTGGCCAGATAGCACAGCTCTGTCTGGACCTAGAAAAACAAGCAGTATCTGAGAACTACTTGATTGCATTCCTATAGCTTTCTGTGGGAGAAACCTCAGCCCCTTCCATGCACAAGGGCTCAGCATCTCCCCCCAGCTCTGTTCTTACCTGAGGAGCTCCAGCTGCCGAAGGAGGCTTTGTTTCTCTTTCTGCATGTTCTTGGAGACTCTAAACACATCCCTGGGAAACGGGGATTTTAAATGGGAAATAAGTTAATGGCAGAGGAATTACAAAGATCCCTTTCTCAGGGACGCTCATGGTATTCTACCCCAGCTATCCTCTCTCTTCCAATGTGAAGGCAGGCAACCCATTTTCTCCTTTCACACTTCAGTTTCCTCAGCTGCTAGAGATGGGAAGGATGCTCACTGCCATCTGGTTCTGAAACAACCCCATGTTTCAGCTAAGTATTATTAGATTAAGCCCAGAAACAGGAACATAAGTGATTAGAAGAGGATCTGTAGGAACATAGAGAAGAAGCCTTCTACAGGCTGAGGAACATCTGTATTTTTTACAGTGCTTTTATAGCCAAATATCAATGAACATATTCCTTTCCCACTAAAGGCAGGTGGGAGGCAGCAGTATCACTCCCCATTTAGGCCCAGAAGGCCACTGGGATGTTACTTCTTTTCCTCAAGAAGAGACAGGCAGTCCTCTGATGAGACAAAGGCTTCGAATTAGAGATCCTTATTCTTTAACTACTTGTCCACCCTTCCTTCTTTACCTGTGTCCCTGTCCTGACACCTCCCTTCCCTGCCCATTCCCACCTGTTTTTCTGCTCTTGCTCAAGCTGGGTCTCTTTCTGGAGCTTCTGTAATTGACCCTTCACCGCCTCCAGCTCCCATTTGCTTTTCTCCAGCTCTTCCAGCAAGTTTTCATTCAGGTGCTGGAGCCTTTTGTTCTGCACACGTGTCTCCAGCTGCTCTGAGTTCAGAGACTGTAGCTGATGTTCCAGCTGCAATGGGAGAGGAGCAGGAGGGGTTAAACATAGAGAGGAAGGGGTTTGTGCTGCAATCATGCCTGTAAAAACAAGCTCAAGCAGCAGATGTAAACAACAAGGTGGAAGGGAGGTAAACATAGCTTAGGTCTATAGGACCACCAGTGGCACCGAGAAGGTGAACTGGAGCAATTATTTTTCATCATGCCAGCACTGGGGAGCAAGCAATTCAATTAGTCAGGCAGAGCTGAGGAAGCACTTCGGGCAGCGTGAGGAGCTATCGGGCACTGTAGAAATCAGCGTACAAATGAGGGTCAAAGGAGGACTGGAAACATCTGGGTGGAAGCAGGGGAGTGTCTGCTGGGACTTATTAAGCACAGTTGTTGAAACACATCCTTTAGTTTGGGGGCATGGCAGCTGAAAGGGAGATGTACTGAGGTGCCAGGGGTATCTCACACTACACCTAGAAAGTCAAGTGATTGGGTGGCCTTTGTTACTATTGGAGAAAGGACCTCAGGCTAGAGGTCTTGTTGAAATGCCACTGAGGCACACTTGCACTCTGGACAGCCCAAGACCCCAGCACAACTAGCAAGCCTGATTTAGGAAGCTCAAAGACTGCTGTCATGTACTCAGCCAGTGATGCAATTCCTCCCAAATGGCTAGTGTAGGCTGGGGAAAAAAAAAAATGCCCATCTTAGATGACAAGTGAGGCATCTCAAGAGGGATCATACTGACACTTCATTATCTAGCCAGCCATACCAGTAACCAGGGCCCTTTCCTGAAGCTGGTGCTATGCGGAAATTGTGGTAACGATGTGAGAACTTACAGCCCCAAAATAAAGTGATACAATCCATGCTTGCAACCACAGGGGTGCACCAGTTCTGACCACTGTAGTAGGTGGCAGAGTCAGCCACCACAGTGTTCAAGGCTAGGTGGTTGCATTAAAGACAGCAGCACAAGCAGAATACAGGATAGGAGATCACATTTCCTAGAAAGTTATCAAAGGTTTTAAGCACAGAGCCAAGGTTAGCCCTTTAAATGCCACGTGTGACCACTTCTTGCCACATAGAAAGTTAGGCAAGGACAGAGGGAGATGTGATCTCACCACGGAGCAGGGACTCTTGTGGAAACCCCTTTATACCTTCAGCCTGCCTTTTCTGCACCTTCAGATAGACTCTCAAAGGGAAAGTAAAGCAGCACATTGCGGCACAAGATAAACTGTTCTTTTTCTTGCTACTGTGCTCTCTGTCAGCACATGCATGCAAGTCTCGAGCAGGAGAGAATCATAGAACGGTTTGGGTTGGAAGGGA